AACCATTATCTCAAATGAAATTGCTCCAGACAGCAACCTGCCACAAACCATTTCCCTTAGAGTAAACCTGTACCTGACATTTCCTTCAACAGTTCCACTGGTACAGCCTTCCACCAGATCACGTAAATTGGAAGCATAAAGGACCCTGTAGGTTGACATAGCTTATCTATCCCCTGGTGTGAAAGAAAGCAGGTATTTCTGAATCTATAAAGATGATAAAATAATAAATAATACATTAATAAATGTAAAGGCCTTCATACCTAAACCTTCTGTACGCTCAGAATAAAAGACGAGTTTTGAGTATCAGTCTAAACTTTCCTCTTCCCCTTTCCCTTTACTGTCTATAAACAAGACATCACCTCAGCTTTCATCTGAAAGATACAGGAGCCAGCACTCCTACTCAGAAATAAAAAGCAGTTGTAATGAAAAGCAGTTGTCACAAAAAGCAGTTACTTAAAACATGTTGCTGTGCAACAGACAAGTATATCAACGTGCCTTACAAATAAAAAGGGAATATGTATTCCAGCTGTTAAATAATGTATAAAAAAATGTGATACTCTAAGACAGCAGGTTTAAAAAGACCAAAGAAACACGCACAGAAATATGGACACTTTGTAGAAGGGCATATGACTTTGTAGAACTGTTCACCTCACTTCAGATGTCTCAGTTTTGATGACCTCTACCTCTAGTGAACTGTCATGTTCAATGCAGAGAAACAGGCACTTGCAGGCCACAGAAGTTTAAATTAATTTGAAACAACAGGACTTATTTCTTTATACTTACTATAAAGAGAACCTGCATTACCACACTTATGGGCATTTGAACCTCCACTGAGGAGGTCAGTTCAGCTGCCCAGACACTAAGTGCCATTTCAGACACTCATGGGTATGCAAGATACATGCATGGTTGGCTGATACAATGCACAACTTACGGAAGAGCCAGATCCCTCTGGCCTGGCAGCTGAAGGCAAGCCAAAATACTCTGTGGTATCTCAAACAGCTCCAGATGCAGGCTAACTATTTCAGCCCCCAGGGTTGAACCTGGTATCTGGATTCAGATTTGGGCACCTGATGTTAGAAACCCAACTGTCAGTGACTACACTTGCCCTACAGTCAATGGAGATCAAGTCACAAAAGTGAGCGAAGACTTGAGAGCTGCTCTCACCCTAAAAGGAGAGCTCTTCACCCTAAGAGTAGACACCTACATTTGATTAGCTGAATCACACTCTGAACTCCCTGGACAGCTGTGACAGATCACCAGGACCCATAGGAGCCCAGACACATATGTAGGTAGAAACTTAGGGCTCTGACTCAGAAGCTGCATCCCAGATGCTCATGTTTAGTGACAGGAACATCAATCTCAGATAAGCAGCCAACACATGTGCACATGAAGGGTTGCGTGAATGGGGAAGACAAAAGCTCTTCTCCAGTTCACACACTGCCACTCAGAAATGGCATGAATTTTATGTGGCGCTGGTTCAAGTAAACAAGAACTTTTTGGGCTTCAGAGATTTATTTTCCTGAGCACAAAAATTGAAATTTATCCACAATCATTAGCAGTTGGTTTTCTGGCCCTGCCCTGTACTGGGTCTAGCTAGGATGGAGTTAATTTTCTTCACAGAAGCCTGCATGTGTATTTTGGATCTGTGACTAAAATGGCATTGATGGCACACGAGCCCTTTGGCTAGTGCTGAGCAGCACCTGCACAGCGCCGAGGCCTTCTCTTCTCACCCAGTCAGGAGGCCAGGGGTGGGCAAGAAGCCAGGAGGGGACACAGCTGGGACAGCTGACCCAAGCTGAGCAAAGGGATATTCCATGGTGTCATATCACCTCCTGCTCACCAATAAAAAAGGGTAGGCATGGGAGGTGTGGTCTGGGAGGCAGCCATTGCTTGGACATGGCTGGGCATTGGTCTGCTTGTGGTAGGTGGTGAATGATTGCCTTTGCATTGCCTCTTTTTTTCCTCTTTCATTCACATATTACACTGTCTCTACGCATGAGTTTTTCTTGCTTTTGCTCCCCCTATTCCCTCCCCTATGGGGGAGCAAGTAGCTAGGTGAAGCTTAGCTGTTGGCTGGGGTCAACCCACCATACTCTCTCTGACGTCTCTGAAGAAAAAGAGTCAGATGAAGAGAATGAATACGATCTTTGAAAAAATATGAGCAAGGGAAAAATAAGCCTCTTTCACTGTTTCTGTGAGCAGGGAACACTGTCAAATAAACATTTGGTAACATTGCCAAATGACTGGGCATGTGAGAACCACCATGTCACAACTCAGATTTCAGGTGATGAAAGCGGTGTCTAACTGCTAATTTATTGCATTCTGGAGGAAGGGTTTGGATCTCTCTTCATGAACCCAGCTAGGATGTTTCACCTGCCCACTATCTTGTCTTCCAAGACAGTATAATAACATTTTGTGTAAAAGCTGCTGGGAAGTTGAAACATACTGACTCAGGTCTGGTAGATGCAGAGCAGAATGTAAAAGAAACATGAGATTCCGCACATTTTTACACTTCAGTGTGTACGCTCCCTTAAATAATCATGGGTGGGTTTTTTCCCATTCTGAGAGCATCAGCATCCTAACAAACAGCTTTATTAAATAATAGATTCAGTTAATTAGTACAGAGATGATGTAGATATAATACTGTACTGAAGAAGCTGAGTGCTGCATACTCAGGGAAGTCTCTAGTTACCAGAAACAGGCTTAGCACCTCTTTTTGGGGATAAAGAACAGAAGCCAGGCTGGGTTCTTGGATGCAAACACCACCTGGGCCCAAGGAGGATCGTTCCTGAGTATGCATTCTGAAGTACATAAGTTGTTCCTCCATTCATTGTATAATCTATACGTTGTAAATTACATGGGAAGTCAAGCACAATGCACAGCTAATCCACAGAGAAGAAAAGCCACTATACCACAGTAACGGTACTATTCTGAAAGGATGCCGGTGGTGCAGCTCTCACCCAAGGCATGGATGAATCCCACGTGTTTCAGGTTCAAGAATGCTTTGAACAGCAAGTGCCTCCAGGTGGCTCGTGTATCCTGAATCCTATAAAAGGAAATCCTCCCTCAACCCCCCCTTGCTATTTGAAGACAGCAAATTTGACTCATCCTTCAAGATGAAGACCCCGACAGACAAGAGTGGAGAGAAGGTTGTGGTGGCAGCATCTGAAAAAGTCAGCTGATAATCAGGAAAGTAAGTGCTCTCTTTTTTCCTTTTTTTTAAGCTTTTCCTCTAAAAGTATGTGTCACTGTGGCTCTCACAGTATAGGGCTGGCAAAAGCACTAAGACTTTAACCAAAGAAATCACAGCCTTTCACACACAGCAAATGGCTACGCATCTTCGTCTTCTAGTTTTGATGTCAAGAACGGTGTTCTCCAATGACCTGTCTGCCCTCCCCACAAAGCTCTTACCTTTTTTCCTTTCTTTTTTTTTTTTTCTTTTTAAATACCCAGATAGCAGAGAAACAAGGAATTGAACTAGAGAAAAACGTCAAAAACCCGATCAGCCAAATGCTGATGCAGTTCATGAAGAGCCAGAACATAATCTTATGAGAGACACAAGAGCGAGCTGGGGGAGGCTCATGGCCACCCTGTGCTCTGAAGGCTGACACAAAAACACAGGGTGAAGGTACAGCCGCGGAAAAAAAATAATCATGGTTTATGTACAGTAGAAGTCTGGACTCTTTGAGCACAATTCGCAGCGACATACACTAAATCAAGACATTCCTCTGCCTAACAAGGACCCTATGGATCACGCTGCAACAGAGACAGGTCTCAACAACATGGATAGGTTTGGAACAATGTAAGTGACTGGACAAAGTCAGCTTTCAAACTCCTCCTAAGGGAATGGTAGACCAACATGATTTAAGTACGTAAAAGCAAAGCCAACAGGACTCAAAAATATGTGAACCTTTAAAATCAGATTAACAAAAACAGAGAAGAATCTAATAGGTTATGTCACTTTGCTACTAAAATTGTCCTTACTGAGCAGAGCACAATACCACAAGAGAACGTAGAAACACTTAATTTCAACAGTTACATTTAGATAGGTAGGAGGAAAAGATAAAAGGAAACTCTAATTTCAGACTCATCATTGTAGAGACCACACTGGAAGCTGCTGAATTTGAGGGCTTTCCAAGTGAAAATAAAACCCACCAAAAAAAACAGAGGTCAAAACAACATATCCTATTACAAACCTGGTAAACAGATTTAAGCAAAATTAAAGCTTCAAATTGAGAGACCAATTAAAGCTTCAAATTGAGAGACCAAGCATCCCTCAATTGTAGATGATAAATCTCATTTTTACATCAGATATCCAAGGCTGCGTTTATACATCACAGATGGTTCTTCCAGAAGTCTCTTTGTTTTCCTCTGATCTGAAGAAATTTGAAATAGACCTGCTAATAAAACTCCCAACAGCAGACATCTTGGAAACAGTAAGGGAGCGGAAAGGATTCTGTTCATGAGCTTTTCAGTCCTCATTTATTAATTCAACAATAATTCACTCTGTCAGACCACAGAGTCTCTCTCTGGCTACTCACAGCTCCTCCCAAGCAAACAAGAACAACCTGCCATAGGCAACGGGCATTGCTCAGGGAACTGAGTGAGCGGATAAACCTTACAGCATATCTTGCAACTCAAACAGGCTGGACCTAATGCAGCATGTTCAACTTCTGGCCTGACATATTCTGAACTGAGAGGGCTTGGGCTAGGTATAATCCCATTTGAAAACACGTACCCTTGCCTACATCCTACGATTCTTGAATTGTACTGTTCCA